GTTAAAGGGAGAGAATTTTCCATAATATGATTTCATTCTTCGCTGGGTAAATGTAGAGTGTGGGTATTTGACGTGGGAAGAGGACTCTGCCAAGTTACCGAGTATTCCAAGTATGTGTTCTAGAATCGGGGAAATAACTATAGGAAATCATCGCTGGACCCACTGTAAGAAAGACCAAGCTAAAACTCTGTTGATTACCTGACTTCCATAAACACTTATTCTGCCTAGTGGACCACAGTGACATTTTTGTCTTTGGGAATTGGTATCAGTTCAGATCCAGTGTCCAGTAATCCTTGACAAGTGTGAGTATTTCCTCTTCCCCAGTGCATAGTCACCCCAGGTAAAAGGCTACCTTTGGGAGAGGTCGGGGGAAGGTGAAGAGTGTACGTTTCTGTCAAAGTATGGGGTTCTTCCTCAAGGGGATGATTCTGTCTCTGAGCTTCTAGGTACTACTTATGTGACTTCAAACAAGTCACATAACCTCTCTGGACCCTGCTTCCCATGGACCAGGACTTGTCTAAGCATCATTCAGCCCCAGGATTCTGAAAATCTGTCACTCTAAACCCACAGACAGCTCTCCCTGGAGCAAATTGCTATGTGGATAGTCCCTGACCTACTCATTTTTGTGTGTATGTGTATGTGTCTGGGGGAGGGGAGGGTAGCAATTTGGTGACAAAGACCTATTCTGAGTGTGTATTAAATTGTCCTATTAAAGAAGAGGTGCAAACCCACAAATAACCCCAGGCTGGCTCAGGGCAGTTCACTGTCAGTCAGAGAAGCGTACAAAGTGCCGTCCCAATGATGGGGCGACGAAATGTTTAGCTAAGGATATCTTTGGCGTTGCTTTTCTATTTATGGGGGTTAAAAAAAAAAGCAGGCAACCAGTGAGGCAGAACCCCACGGCAAGCCAGGGGTGTACCGCATGGGTGAGGGGTGTGAAGATGTGTGCAGGCAGCTGGGTTTCACCAGGAGTGATGTAGAGAGTTCCTTGTAACCAGCACTGCTGGGCGTCTCTCCAATCTCATCCCTGTTTGTCACTCTGAATTTGCAGCAAGTAGGGCAGTTTGACTCACTCCGCTGACGTAAGGCAAGAAAATAGGCATCTTCAGACCCTTTCTGTTGTTTTTAGTTTAGTTGTTTTGTTTTGTTTCTTTCTTCCCTGGGGCTCACAAGTGGCTTCCTGTTCGGAATAGAATCTAGAGGCTCAGAGGACCGAGTCAGAAATAGAATGAAGTTGTCACAATATCCGTGGACAGCTCTTTCTTCTCCTCCAGGGCCAATTCCAATCCACCTCCCCACTTCCGCCCTCCAAGTTGGCCAGCAAGCTCACACACGGGTGAGTTATAATCCCAGCAATGTGACAGCCTGCTGGTGACGTGCAAAATAAGTCACGTCTCCTCCCGAAGCCTGGTTTTTCCTATCGTGAAAGTGAGATTCATGATACCCTCTTGAACCCAGCCCACAACACAGAAAAGTTGTGACGCTCAAATTAGAGACCCAAACAGGAGAGCTTTAGGGGCGCCTGGGTGGCTCAGTCGGTTAAGCGTCCGACTCTTGATTTCAGCTGTGGTCATGACCTCAGGGTTCGTGAGATCGAGACCCGTGTGGGTCTGCACCCTGAGCGAGGAGCCTGATTAGGAGTCTCTCTAAATACAATGAAATAAAAATGTAAAGTATGGCTGCCTTAATAGCATAATTCTGGATGTTTTAAAGGAATTTTTTTGAAATAAATGTTTTATTGAGGTATGGAAGACACAGAGAAAGAGAAGGTATCACAGATGTACAGCAAGATGACTTTTCACAAGCTGAGTTCACACATGTACCCAGCAGCACCCAGATACAAATTAGGGCATTATCAACACTGCAGAACCCGCCCACGTCCTCTCCTGGACACTGCCAGCCTGCTCTCTGGGGGAACCACTTCTCATCGCTACACTCACCGCAGCTTGGTTTTGCCCCTTTCCATACCCAATATCTATCTTTAGTAGGTACTTTCCGGTTTTCAAATTCGCTGAACCACTTTTCTCTTCTGCCACTAGCATCGGAGAGTGTCACTTGGGGCACATCCTTTTGCTCAGACTTGGTGGTCCCCATCTTTTTTATTTGTATTCTTTATTTGATTTTAGCCATCCGGCCGAAGAGGTATGTATTTCATTGCAGCTTTTTTTTTTCCTGCACCTAGAGTGGAGAGCCCGATGTGGGGCTCCAACTCACAAACCGTGAGATTATGACCTGAGCCCAAGACAGACGCTTAACTGACTGAGCCACCCAGGCGCCCCTCTCATTGTAGTTTTAATTGGCATTGTTCTGATGACTAATGAAGTGGAATTGTGTGTACTTATTGGTCTTCTGAATATCCTTTACTATGAAATGCCTGTTCCTATCATTTTTCTTACTTTCCCTATTGGTTATCAGATTTCTTCTTACTGCTATATAGTTTCTTTCTTTCTTTCTTTCTCTCTCTCTCTTTCTTTTCTTCTTTCTTTCTTTCTTTCTTCTCTCTCTCTCTTTCTTTCTTGGGCAAATCACATTCATTATACAGTGGGTGCATTGTCCAGAAAAATAAAAATTGTGATAATTGCATCTACTCTGATTGAAAGAGACCCAGGAAGGAAGGGCAGACCCTAGACAGCATAAAGTGCCTTAGACTAGCCCAGCATCCGGCCAGTCTAGGAGTTACCTGTATATTATAAATACAATCTTTGATTGGCTAGAGGTATTGCAAATGTACTCTCTGACTGAGGGTTGTCTTTTTATTCTTTGAATGATATCTTTTGATGGGTATATTTGATGGTAATATAGACCCCTCCCCCCCATTAATCATTTTTTCCTTTATGGTGAGCTGTTTTAAGCGATCTGTGTCTCTGCCAATATCACAATAATGCTTCCCTATGTCTTCTTCTAAAAGCCATTCTGTTGATGTTGGTAGTATTGTTACTATTATTTTACTTTTCCCCTTTAGATCTGTCCTTCATCTCTCTATGTTTGCAGATACATAAGAGATTGTCAGGAGGATGTTCTGTTGTTGTTGCTGTTTTTATATCAGTATTCAGCTGACCCAGTGACATTTATTGAATTCTGACCCTGGGTTTATAATCTGTAACTACTTACTTCAAAGGGACCGTTTTCTGTGTGAGCCAGACGGACACAATAGTTTGTTTTCATGAGAGACAGTGCACACCTACAATATGTCGGAAGCTTTATATATAGTAGCTTACCTGGTTCTCAAACGTACTATGTTATTACTCCATTCTGTAGCTGAGAAAACGGAAGCTTTGGAAGGACAAGCAATTAGATGAAGGTTAAATAATGAGTAGCGGAGCTATGATTCAATACCCAATCTTTTTCTGACTCCAAAGCCGATGTCTTGCTCTCTCTTCAAACATCATGGTGACAGCATTCATTAAGACTGTGGAGGGTGAGTAACCAGAGAGACTAGGGTACTAAGCTACAATCAACTAGTAACTGAGAGCGATATTTTTACCCAGAGCATTTATAAACCGCAGCCGGTTGTTTCTTGCCCTCAGTAACAATAAAGGCGAATGGGTTAGTCATCACTTCCTTTCACTGCAAAGCTCCCAGGCGTATCTGATCCTGGTTCTGAAGTCACGGTACGTGTCACCTTCCCCGTTTGACAGACAAGGAAAGGGAGAATCCACGAGGTGAGGGGACTTATCCAAGGTCACATAGCAAGGTCAAGTATCCAAGGGCAAATAGTGGTAGAACAGGGCCCAGGATGTGTTTTAACCAGCTGGCTCGCGCACCTGTGATCACTCCCCCCCCCACTGCACCCCTCGTGGATGTCGATGACCCTTAGTGTACTTCATGACTGTACGGAAGCCCGTTAGCCCCGATTATTACAAAAGATTGTACTTTCTAGCCTTGGGGTCTTAGTCGCTCATTCCTGTGCCTGGCTACTGCCAGGAACAATAAACCACTCTTGCAGCCCTGCCCCCCGGAACTGCCTGTGCCTTCAGCCTTTCCGTCACCTCCAGAGAGGCTCCCGGGTCCCTCCTTCACTTGTCTCCAGCACATCCATGCCCCAAAGCAAAATGCCGAGTTTGAATATGCAGCTGATGTTGTCTGTCACCTCCTTCCAGACACAGATCTGTGTAATTGCAAAAATTGTTTCATAATCCTCCCCAATTAAGCTCCTGACAACCTAATTTTAAAGACTCTAGTGGATTTCTACATGGCTGTTCTCCCCATTCCTCCTTCTAACCTCTACCTCTGTCCTCTGCAAATAAGACCGATCACTTATTCCACGATGCCAGACTAGAAGGCATCTTCACTGCGGCAACGGACTACAAACCTCTTCTTTTGGTCTTTTCTTCCTTGTTGCTGTGAGCCATTCAATGAGGCTCTGACGTCATTTCAGAAACCGAGACAGGCAGGGAACACAGGTTTTTAAGGCAACAACAGAAAGTCAGAGAGGGGAATGAAGGATTAAAAGCTAAATATTTTTCTGGGGGAAATGAGGCACACAGAGTCGGTCTGATGGCCAGTTATGATTCACACTAGCACGTCCAGAGGCCAAGGCTTCCTTCACTTGAGCCCCGAACGTTCTGACACCATTGACATATTCATTGTTATCAGCACGTTGCCTTTAACAGGCACACGCATGCAAGTGCACACACACACGGTCATGTGCAGCACAACCAAAAAAAAAAAAAAAAAGGCAAAAAAACAAAAACAGTGCATCATCAGAAGCCTAGAAACAACTGTTTTGCCTTTCCGGTCTAGAGTACGATCTACAGAGTATACATTTTGTGGCGTATCACTGAATTACTCAGACACCCATTACAATGTCAAAGAAATGCCAAGGAAGAAGCACAGGGCATAAATAAAAGAATAATTCAGAGCTCCAATTTCATTTTTTTTTTTCATTTCCTCCCCATTTTTAAATAAACACTCCTGGTAGGCAAACGGGAATTATGGATTATAGTTTTCTATTTTAGCCTAGATCTGTTTCTCCCCCCTCTCTCCTTGGCACTCAGTTTGTGTGATCTTCCCTAAAATGCCACTGGCCTGGCACTGCATTCCTGTCTTAGGCAAAACCTCCAATTAAAATCAGCGGGGAGTTTGCTTGAATTAGGAATCCCAGCCTGGGCTCCCCACCCGGGTGGTTCTGAAAGGGAGATGTGTGTCTTTGAAGCCAGTGATGGGAAGCCCTGGGTGGCATAGCCTCTGTCCTCCAAATGACGATCGACTCCAGCTGTGTCACTGGGAGACCTGTCAGGTCGCCAGAAAATCCTGGCTGAGGCAAAGACAGGGGCCTGCAGGGGAGCATGGCCTGGAGCCTAGCTTCTCCTCGGGTCTGGGTTGTCAAGAGTAAGGAAAGCACAGCGGGGACTGGAGGGGAACACTGGGTTTGGATCCAGAAATCCTGAACTCTGGTCTGCTACATCCATGCTGTGTGACCATGGGAAAGTCACCGTCCCTCTCTGGCCTTCGGCGTCCTCTCAGTAGGAGGAAAAATCACAAAGGAGTCCTAACTCAGAGGGTTGACCTGAGGATAGAGGGATAACAGCCACAGTGTAGAAAGCACTCAGGGGACACTGATCCTTCGCTTCACCTAAGCAGCAAAGCCTCAGCGTTCAGGTCTACACGTGAGGGGGATGGGCTGAACATTTCCCAGTCTTCTTCTCGGAAGGTTTCTGCTTCTGTGGTCCAAGCTGCTGCACGTGGCCCTCGGAGGGAGCCCACCAATCAGGCGCCAAGGTTTTCGGGCTTTAAAAATAAAAATGCAGGCTTCTGCCCTCACCTCCTTCCTCCTCTCCTCCCTCCCCTCCGCACCCCTCCTCTCCCGGTCAGATGAATTGAAATCCCATCCAACAGAAAGATGCTGATTTGGATGTATTGGAGTTCATCTTTGGCTGCCAGTGGAAGATGCTCTGGATCCCCAGGGACAGAAAAGCCTTTTAAAACTTGGTCCCCGTTGCCTCACGCTGACTGCCTTGCGGTGGGGCTGTGGCAGCCCTTTGTGAGACCCTCCCCTCTGGAACCGGCCTATTAAGCCACTCCTCTGTTGCCAGGGTTGAGGTAGGCTGTCACCAGCTAGCCTGGGAAATGGTATTTATAGATCACAGTCCCTCCTACCCTTGGTCCCCAGCCTCTCCCCGAGCACTTGTCGGTGAGCTCCAATTATCTGTGAATGGAGGAGAGGGATCCTGGCAGGTCCAGAGGAAGCGGGGAATGTGATAATAGGCCCTTCACACACTCAAACTTGCAGTATTTTTCCATGATTTCAATCTATTTCTCTTCGCGTGGCCTGTTTCCTTCTTCTCCTTGCCTCACCGTCATAATGTTACATTCTAGTACGCAGCACCAAGCGTCGTGCCTCTGGGGTTAGAGAGCGTGGAGTGTGAACCCGGAGTAGCTCTGGGTCTCAGACGGGTGTCTCGCTCCTCCAGGGCTCAGTATCTCCATCTGTGACTCAGTCAGATGGCGTGTGTGAGCCTGCAGCCCAGTGCCTGGTATACAGTGAGTGCTCAATGGTAGTAAGCCGCCGATCCCCGTGGCTGGTTCGGGGTGCCACACGCCGTGGAGCATTGCCAAATTTCTGAATACCACTCACTCATCGCTGCCCAGAGCACTGGTTGCCGATGGTGTAGGAGATGGGCCTCGACCGAGGCAGAGTCCTCATTGTGGGAAGCTGCTTGCGTCCGGCACAAACACACAAAACCCTGGAATGAGCTCATTCTGGTTTTGCTCTTCCCCACAGAAGGAGGTCCTGGAAAGCAAAAGAAACGTTGGCCGAGCTGGGAAGTCAGGGTTGTCACCAGTAACATTGCGTCCTGTCTGTGACACCCAGCCTCCGCTTCCCAGAAAGGGCCGAGTCGCCCTCTGAAGGCCCATCCGGCGTCCGCGTTCCCTGAGCCTTTGGGTGCTGACACATGAAGGCCTGGCCGAGCGGCTTCATTTCTGTCCTCCCCTCTCTGATTTCGTCCCCTCGCGGTGGCCCTCTCCAGTGCCCTGCTCCCACGTTGTCTCATCCTCTCCTCTAGGTCGGCCTCCCCCGTCTCCCCCAAGGTCTCCAGCATGGAGACCGGCTTTTCTCTTCCCAGCCTTCCCCGTGCTCCACCTCCCTCCTCCGCGTTCTCTTTCCTCCTGCCCTGGGCCTCGCGCTCCCCGGCCCCCCCCCCCCCCCCGCGCGCACGCGGCCCCGCTTTAAGTCCTCTGCCTGTATCATTAATGCCTTCTTTGATACGGCCCACAACCTCATGATTATTCTGAGGTCAGGAGATGCAGGTGCCAGGCAGCTCACTGATGCGCCTCAGAGGGCCTCTGTCCCCAATCCCTCCTGCTCGACAGGGCTGGAATCCTAATTCGCCGCTAGCCCCTTCGCTCTTTGCAGCATCACCAGGGACTTTCATCTTTTTATTTCCCCCACCGAGGATTCTGAGGGCTCAGCCACAATGAGGCATTGATTCAAGGGGTGAGGGCTGCGGGGCTGACAAAGGGTCCCAATGATGGGACACGAGAAAGGGGGCGCTCTGCGGGGTTATAGAATGCCTTGCAGATGGGAACAGAGGAGCTCTAAATGGGGCACTGTCCCGTCACTTGGAGAGGGAGTGACAGGGGCAAGTGTGGGCCATTTGAAAGAGGCATTTTGGAATGACGCTCTCGTCAGATGGAACCGTGCAATCGGAGACGTGTGGCGGGCCCCTGCAGCTCACAAGAATATCAGATGACTCACAGCCAATATTCAGTCAATGTTCTGGTTTGGGAGCTGGGAGCCGCAAAGCTCGTTGTCATTCCAGCTCCGTTTCCTGAAGGCTGGGCCTGCTGCTGTTCTCCAGGCTGTAATAGGATTGGTCTCGTGAAGCAGACGCTGGGGAGGGCTGGAGCTGCGTGGGTGGACGGGCTCGGAAACTAATACCGCAGTCCAGAGGGGAGAAGAGAAGTTGGGGTTTGCTTTTTGGTTTTTTAATGGAGAATACGAGAAAAATGCTGATTTTGTGCGTTCATTCATTCAGCGAACGTTCATCCCGCAAACCTTTGGGGCGCCGAGCTCAGGGGTGAGATGCTCAGGGAAGGACGGATCTCCCCTCTGAAGCCCCCAAGCCTGGAGGGGAAACTGACAGGCAAAGCGGGGGTCTCCAGTACGGTCTTTCGAATGTGGCCAGGGAGGTTTTATTGCCGGGGCTGGGTGGCTCTGTGGATGTAAAAGGCAGAGCGGCTTTGAGGAGCGCACTAATTATTCCTCCATTTTCTCTCGGCTGATAAGCAACTTGCGTCAAGCAGAGCATTCTGGGAAGCCGTTTCAACACTATCCATTTTCAAATGTCCCACAGAACAAAATGGCTCCCCTCAGACTCCAGAGAGATAGTGAAATCCCTGAGGGTGTCTCAGTACCTTCAAAGGAATAGCTTATTCTCTGGGAGAAGAGTGCTTACTGTTATTACCTGTTTCAATAATTGATCTATGCCAGGCTCTGTGCTAAATGCTTTCACCATATTATCTCCCTCAATCCTCTCACCCGTTGCCTAAGATGGGCTTTATGATTCTCATTTTAGATATGGATACTGGGGCTTAGAGACACAAAGTGACTTGTTCCTGGTTACAGAACTGAGTTTGGAACTCAGCTCCTCTTGGGCCAATACACATGCTTTGTCAACATCGGGTTCTACTCTCTCCCTCGTGGCTCTTGGGCTCAGCGACCACGGCGGCACAGTGGAAGTGAGACAGTTGATGGATTGCTGACATTTCCTTGCACAGGCAGTCTGATGCAAGAGGGCTTCTCTTTCCGGTTTCCTAAAATGGGGGGCATGAGCCACTGCCGCCACCGTCATTGTCACCATCCGCATGACCACAGCACACTGCAACCTTAAGAAAGGCTTTCTTGACTCTTGCTGGACATATATTTTAAAAACCAATAGCTATGAGCCAGGAGACTTCTCCGCTCACTCGCTGTATGACATGGAGTCCATCATTTCGACCGCTGAGCTTTTCTCTCTGGCATGTCTCTAAAATGGAGCCGAGAGTCCCTTTGCAAGAATAAGAAGAACTAACTTTTATCGAGTCCTCGCTACCTAGCAGGTTTGGGGATAAGCCTTCACATCAAAATTCAGGTAATCCTCAGCACAGCCCTGTGTGGTGGTGACGATTAGGAAGGTAGAGGAAACTGCCCGGCACTGGGAAAGTGGAGGAGCCAGGATTTTCATCAGTCTCCCAACTGGCCTCACATCCCAAGCTATTTTCAGGGTGTTGTTGTGAGGCTCAAGTGAGAAAATGGGAGTGAGTGTGCCCTGTTCAGGGTAAAAAGTGCCAGGCACAGGTAAGGGATTATTCGTTGCACGGAAGACAGTGGGAAATGACTTGTGCAGAAATGAGGAAAGACGAGAGGCTACCAAGCTGACTGCCTTCCGTATTTCTCCTCATTCTTCTGCTGCTTCCTATCTGATATAGTATCCGTCTCCATCGGAATGTTTCAGTGGCCGGAACCCCAGGGACAGGGCGTGGGTAGCGTGGGTAGCGGTTCAAAAGCATCGAGGGGCTGTGGGGAGGGGGACCTAGAGGTACATGTTGTGACGGGAGTTCCACTGACTTGAGAATTTGGAGCTCGGGGAAAAAATGGGGCAAATAACATCTTTCTTACATGTGAGGATCACGTAAGATCACCAGGGTGGACACACCAGACGATCTCTAGGACAATATAAAATATAATTTGTTTTTGGTTGAAATTGAAGTCGTTGGCCATTATGTAACTTCCTGGGAGGAATCTGGGAAGAAGGTTGAAACAGGAGATTCAGGTGAAATGTACTAGCCTCTAAGTGCTCCCCTGTTTGCTGGTTTTTAAAATCTGTGGTCATCAGGCAGGGGTGTTGGAGTTCAGACACTAGTTTCTTGGGTCAAACTTCTTTGGGGCTACAGGGCAATGGAATCCTGGAGCTGGAAGGACCCCAAAGCACACTTACTCCAGCCCCTTCACCTCACAGATGAGGACACTGACCATTGGAGGGGTGCGGTGTTATTCAGCGGGTCGGTGGCATCACAAGGGACTCCAATGTATATTCAGAGCCCTTCCTACCATAACCGTCCTACCCCGTCCCTTCATCTTTTGTGCACCTGCACTTTGCCTACTCAGTTGGGTCACCGTGACCAGCCCGCCCCCTGGTGGCTAATGATCTCCGTTTTCCTTCCGCCCACCTCCCCCCTCCCGCCCCCCCCCCCCCCCAGGACAATTCAGCAATGGCTTGCAAGGGTCCAGTCGCTCCTCTACTGCAATGAGAACGGGTTTTGGGGAACCTTCCTGGAGAGCCAGAGGAGCTGCGTGTGCCACGGTAGCACCACGCTGTGCCAGCGCCCCATCCCCTGCATCATAGGAGGGAACAACAGCTGCGCCATGTGTAGCCTGGCCAACATCTCCCTGTGCGGCTCCTGCAACAAGGGCTACAAGCTGTACCGGGGCCGCTGCGAACCGCAGAACGTGGACTCGGAGCGCAGCGAGCAGTTCATCAGCTTCGAGACCGACCTGGATTTCCAGGACCTGGAGCTGAAGTACCTGCTGCAGAAGATGGACTCGCGCCTCTACGTGCACACCACCTTCATCAGCAACGAGATCCGCCTCGACACCTTCTTCGATCCCCGGTGGCGCAAGCGCCTGTCCCTCACGCTCAAGAGCAACAAGAACCGCATGGACTTCATCCACATGGTGATCGGCATGTCCATGCGCATCTGCCAGATGCGCAACAGCAGCCTGGACCCCATGTTCTTCGTCTACGTCAACCCCTTCAGCGGGAGCCACTCGGAGGGCTGGAACATGCCCTTCGGGGAATTTGGCTACCCGCGCTGGGAGAAGGTTCGCCTCCAAAACAGCCAGTGCTACAACTGGACTCTCTTGCTGGGCAATCGGTGGAAAACGTTTTTCGAGACGGTCCACATCTACCTACGTAGTCGGACTCGGCTACCTACCCTACTGCGTAATGAGACCGGCCAGGGCCCGGTGGACCTGTCCGATCCCTCCAAGAGGCAGTTCTACATCAAGATCTCCGACGTGCAGGTGTTCGGGTACAGCCTGCGCTTCAACGCCGACCTCCTTCGCAGCGCCGTGCAACAGGTCAACCAGTCCTACACGCAAGGCGGCCAGTTCTATTCTTCTTCGTCCGTGATGCTCCTCTTGTTGGATATTCGGGACCGAATCAACCGCCTGGCCCCTCCTGTGGCCCCGGGGAAACCCCAGCTGGACTTGTTCTCCTGTATGCTCAAGCACCGCCTGAAACTGACCAACAGCGAGATCATCAGGGTGAACCACGCCTTGGACCTCTACAACACCGAGATCCTCAAACAGTCGGACCAGATGACGGCCAAACTCTGTTAACCTGGGGACTCCTTGCCACGGGCTTTCCCTTTTGTTGTACACACATAACAGAACAAAGCAAAGCAAAGCAACACAAACAACAATTTGTAAAATGTAATTCATAATTCAAAGAAAAGGAGGAAGAGTCTGCATTCGTTGGAAACGAAAACGTTCTAGCAACTGTATAAAACCGTTGGGCATGTTTGTTATTTCTGTACTCTGTCATGAAGAAGGGTCTCAGCCTTTGGAGGAGCTTGGAGGGGTTGCTTCTTAGGCCTCAGGTGCTGTATTGTGGGGGGAGAACGGGGAGAGCATATTCAATGAATTGCCAAGATCTCTGCTGTGCAGGTGCTAAGATTAAACCCTAAAAAGAAAGAGAGATATATGTAATGTACAACCGACACTGCCATTTTTCCTTGTGGGAGGAAATGGACATACATAAAGATATTTCTTGGGTTATGATTTCTTCCCTCTTTATGCCTAATTCCTTGTGGTTCTTTCGACTTCTTCTTGCACGGGGGCGACAGTGCTATCTTACCCGTAGAGCTTCTTTCATTCGGAATGAACTGAAGCTAATTGAAGGGGGACAACGGGTGGGCTTAGGGGGAGAAGCATAAGCCTCATCACAGGGTGCTAAAACAATAAGGAACCTTATACATCAGCTGTCACACTCCTTGATTTAGCTTGTGAAACAGGCGTGGGGAGAAATGGCACGCCCAGTAACCCACGGTTGCTGCCTGAAGAAGGATTTGAACTCTGCCTCCTGAGCCCCTTGGCAATGCTCCTTTTTCAAAATTCCTCTGGCCTCTTTTCTGGTTTTTCTCTTCCAGCCACACTGCCACAGGACGGAATGTTTTTCAGTCTCAGGTTGTTTTGATAGCTTTTTTTTTTTTTTCCTTTTTTTTAATGGAGACTCCTTTCACCTACTTTTTCCAAAAAGACGTGGTGTCAGATTTCCTAGAAGTGCTGTGCATGTTAAAATTTCATTTAAATACAAATCAATCACCACAATAGACTAAAATGGGGTAGGTTCTGAAGTTGCATTCCTCACTTCACTCCTCCGCCGGGCGCCTCCCCCAAGTCTCTAAAAAATGATGCTTTCATTAACTCAGAACACACACTCACACACACGCATGCACACACTAACACTGCCATTTCTGTGGCATCTATGAAAGTGTGAGAAGCCTTATTTTGGGACTTCGGAGCAAAATTGAAAGGAGAAACTCAAGAAAGAAAACTCATTTCAAAGCACTCCTGCAGAGGATTTGGGCAGATATCCCTTCGTAGTATTCAGGATCTCTATGTTTACCTTTTTTGCTGCAGTGGTACTTTCTAGAGGTGCTTCAGAGCATCTGAATCTTCATTTCTGTCTTGTCAGAGGAACAGGATCACAAATTTCAGGGTCAGAAGAGAAAATGGAATTCCTCTGGTCTAAACATGTGCGCAGAGTGCGAATCTCCTCTCTGCCGTCTTGGGGAGATAGCTGCTGTTCACCGCCTGGACCATTTCCGGGATAGGAAGCCAATTGGCTCTATCTTCTACATTCCTTGCATTCCTCTTTTACTGAAAGGCAACAATAAGATTCATTCCATTTTGTGTTACGAGACAGATCTAATTATTAGATAGTTCTTCTATACCTTGGCCAGCTTTTACATACCTTCTACTCACTGGTTCTAGTTCTGGAATGTGCATTTCTGTCTCTCAAGTTAATGCTGTCCTAGATTAAATAGAAAGACCTGTCTCAAGTGTCAGCCGAGTCTGTGATAATACGACTCAAAGGGAACATCATCCCCAATATAGTTTAAGAGGAAAGAAGGAGAGGGCTTCAGTGCATAACAATTACCTAGTATGTATGTGTATGTACGTGTGTGTGTATTGCTCGGGGGGGGGGGGGGGGAAGGAGGGAGTAAGTCTTTTTATTTTATTACTCTCTTTTTTGTAATGGTAAATTCCAACTTTAATGTTCCAGTTTTTAGTATGAATTAGCATATATTCTGATACCAACTTTAACACTAACACGCACTTCACATGAACATAGTTTTTTTGGACCTTAAATTTTGAAGATTCAGGATTCATTTAGACTGGAAATTCTTTCATGCCAGAGATCACATAGCAGCTATTCATCAAGCACAAGATTTTGCAGAAGGTCAGCAGATCGTCAAACATCTCTCCAGTGCCTATTAGATGAGCGGGGCATGTCAGAGAAACAAAAATTCGTAAAGACATGGTCTATACTTTTGTGCCACTCACAAATTAATGAAAAATACAGACTTACGAATCAATTTAAAGAATAAACAATAATTACAGTACACCATGATGAGTGAGTGCTATTGTGGGGTCAGACACACAGAGAGGAGCCCTAAAGAAATAATTTTCTCGTTAATGGGGTTGGCAAAGGCATTTTATATGGGCATATTTATTCTGAGTGTTGAAGTGAATCAGACTTGGGCAAATAGCAGGAGCATGAGGGCCAAAGGAACAGAGAAGGCAAAACCACAAAGGTATAAATGGTACAAATATGCACAGTATATTTGAGGGTCTGTTAACAGCTTTAGAAAGGTGTCATTTTAAATGGTAAGCCTAACAAGGCCAGTGAGGATTTTAACTCTGTATGAGAAGTTGAAACCATCATCCACGAACTTCATGACCTGAAAAATGAATTTAAGACTGACCATCTCTCAGTTGCCTCTCTTCCTTTTTCCTTTCACCTCTACCTTCCAAGTAGTTCAAAGACTCATGCTATACTAATCCCTGTACTTCATAGGCATTGTGCCACCAAATCCTTATCATAATTCAGTTAGGGCTTTCCACTTGAGTTCTTCGCCTGACTTTACCACTTCGTATGTGCAAGAAAATCCTCTTTCCTTCACCTTGAAAATACCAACGACTTCACTTCATATTACAAAGAGAATACAACAATGTCCAGTGATTGGAAAGGTCAGGGAAATAGAGAGATTTTCAAGGGGTGAAAGATGCAGACATCAAAATATTTATTCCAAGGCAAATGAAAAATACTTTGCTATAAAAGGACACAAAGTTCTGTGGATTTTCCACTGTCTCCTGGATGGGTCTGGCCCTTTGAGCTAACAAGGTTCCTCTCCAGCTGGGAGGAAGAGAAGCCTGAAGCCTTCAAGTGAGATTTTAATTCAATTAGTGTCTTACCAATTTGATGCAGCAACCAAAGACCTATGGTGTCTGATTAATATGCTGATGCTAAGGCAAAAGGGTGGATAGAATGCCCATTTGGATAAGGCCTGGCAGCAAAGCGTGGCATTTCCATGGAAACCACAGAAAGCCATTAATTAGCTATCAAATAAAATCATTGGAAAATTCTGGACCCTGGCATGTCTGCCCCCTTCAAAGAGGAGGGCAAGAAGAGGTCATACTAACAGCAAGGCTCCCTTCAATGATTAAAATCATATTTGCACAGAGACTACACATCACAAAGTGGAAGAGATTGGAAGTAAAACACATGGACACAATGAAAGAAAAGAGGCTTTGGGATTATTCAGGTCTAAGAATATAATTTTAAATGTAAAGTATCTTATTGGGTTTTCTATGCTGGTAAAATTTTCTCAATGACAAATATTTTCTCCTGTTTTCTGTTCTGTGGAAAGAAAGTGAGAATAATATGGATCCAATATGTAGTGATAAGTGATCAAGGGAAGAGACCATAAAGTTAAAAGTGTGGAGCGATTAACCCCTAAAATAATAGCTATAAGTTGCATAATGTTCAAATTAATAGGGACAAATAAAAAAATTAAAAATAAGGCAGAAAGGGAGAAAAAGGAATCATTAAAATTGGTAGACACATAGACATAATAACAAAACTTACCATACAGATAGATATTCACAATAAATGTAATTGGATAAAACTGACAAGTAAAAAGAGGTGGTCAGACTACATGTTATATGTTAAAATAATAAAGGGAAAGAAAGTTTGAAAATAAAAGAACAAAGATATGCTAGACAAATATTAACTAAAAAGCTGATGCAGCATTGTTAATAACAGTTGAAAAAGACTTTAAGGCAAAATACATCTTTAGTGTTAAAGATGGTAAATTTAGCAGAGAAAGTGAGACAAGAGTGGACTCATAGAACCATAGACTCCGAACACTAAAGGGGTCATTAAAAATCTGTAACACTTCAGCCTTCAGAGATGAGGAATTATACTTAAAGTTATTCCACAAGGTTTTCAACACCGACCATGATTATGGTTCCTTCTCCACTATCACTAAGTGAAAGGTTGTCTAGCATAATCTTTCCAATAAAGAATCAAGAATTACCCCCATGACATTTAAACTAATAGGATACAGACTCACACAGTTATGTTCTCTCTTGATAGATAGATAGATAGATAGATAGATAGATAGATAGATAGATGATAGATAGATAGATAGACACATATGTAATATATACTATATTATATATTATATTGCATTATATTACATTATAATATATATTTTTTCTTAAGTCACTACCATCTCATGTATGAGCATTTTTCCAATTGAGGATTTACTCAAATCCTTGGATTGTATAAGGAACTCCGGTTGAGTGGAGATCACTCTCTTCCTGAAAACTAAATGTTATCAGTGGCTCTAGCCCTGTCAACCTTAAGAACCTAGAAGGAGCTCTCCTTTCTCAATATCTGTTCTCTCTCCAAACCATTATCAGAGCCTACAGTAACAAATGTAAGGTCATATATTCCTTTTCAATATCAGATGTAATTGTAAGCATTCTGAGTCAATGGACATGGTATACTTTCTCTCTACTTCAGTTGAGAAGCCTTCTTCCCTCTCAACAAATCCACAACTCAAGATGGATTCAAGGAATAGAATGGTGTAGATTTGAATTAAGGGGCAGAAAATCACCTCAAAATCACATGGTTAATTTGGGGGAATTACAGATCTCCGATAAATGTGAAAGCTCTGGACTCTTTCCCAATAAAAACGTGCCATCAAATACACTTTTGAATAATGTTTCATAGATCCTTTGATGACCTTTCTTGGACACTCTGGAAGATTACAAACTTTCAGTAAGTGCCTTGGATCTAGGCTAAAGTTTCTATTCTACAAAACTTAAACTTCAACCTTCAGAGATGAGGAGTCATAGCTAAGGTTATTCTACGAGTTTGGAACACGTAGCATGATTTTAGTTCCTTTTTCATTATGTCAAGTGTATGTTGGTCTAGGATCACAAGTCAAGTTAATGTAGCTCATACAGCAGAATCTTGCCCTCCAGGAAGGCATAGAGATAAACATCTTGATGAAAATGGCAGTTATGGTCACTTTAATAAAACCCCATGTATACTAGATCCCAAATGTTATCAGTAGGTATATCCAACTATAAGTACTAAATAAAAGAAAGAGGCCTCTAAACTCTTTCATGAGTATGGTTAAGGGGTGGGCAGGGATGCTGCGATGCATACGGCATCATCAGAGGACAGAGCCTAGTCCACTGAACCTAATACAATTATACATGAAGTTTGAAGGAGAAGGTGTTTGTCTCAGTCAGTTCTGTCTTCTGTAATAAAATATACCACAGGCTGGGTGGTTTAGACAGCAAACATTTATTTCCCACAGATCTGGAAATCCAAGATCAAGGCATTTGGCGTCTGGTAAGAATCCTCTTCCTGATACACAGAAGGCTGTCACCCCACTGTGCTTTAACATGACAGAAGAGGCAAGGGTCTGTCTGGGGTCTCTTTTATAGGGGCACTCGTCTCATTTATGAGACCTTCATTCCCATGACATCACCTTCCTACCTCCTATTACCATCACCTTGGAACTCAGAATTTTTTATAGGAATTTTTGAGGGGGGCACAAAAATTTAGTCCTTAACAGAGTTTAATCAGTAAAAGGGGAGGGGGATGGGTGAGGAACAACAATAAAACCTCTATTAAGTAGCTTGAGTAAATAAATGAACTTCATGAATCACAAGTTGAGTTGCTCTCTAAGTATCTGACCTCCATTCTTGAACTTCCTTGGTTGGTAGGTGTTCCCCAAACTGTCCTGGCTCCACCCAGGGACCAATATTTCCCTAAGAATGAACAAGGACCTTCTCTACAATCAAGATCTCACAGTGTCAATAAAACTTCTAAATGGAGCCATTTACTCCATGAAGAAAATGACTTTGATAAAAAATTTAAATGAAAGCTTCAGAGCTGATGATAGGAGAAAGAAAGAATACACAAGCTGCAGGTCTAAAGTTTAGTGTTGATGCCACCCAGATGGTTGTATTCTTTCTGTCAGGTGACCCCTGCAAGCCTGAACCAGGGACCAACAATTGGTCTGACTTTGCCCCAGGCCTGTGCAAGTGAGGAAATCGTAATGTTCCTATAAATTAGAGGATGATTATAAACACTGTCAAGGGATTGTTAATTATATGGTGTTAATTGTATAACACGTAATTATAAATTAATAATAATGTCACCTAATCTTTTATTAGTGCACAACAGGATGCTGAGATTAAACCCTATGAGCTGAGTTTTCCTGAATTATTAGGCACCTACAGAACGAAGATTAGAACTCAAATTTCCCAATTCTCAGATTAGTGATTAACCATCACAACTCAACATTATTCCTGACATGAGAAAAATCACTGGCATCAGATGCTGTGGCTGAGAACACAGACCTAGAAGACAGGAAGAAGGAGGCAGTGATTAGAACTCAGCCACTTATGGGGCACCTGGGTGGCTCAGTCCGTTAAGCGTCTGACTATGGCTCAGGTCATGATCTCATGGCTCATGAGTTCGAGCCCAGCATTGGGCTCCGTGCTGACAGCTCAGAGCCTGGAGTCTGCTTCAGATTCTGTCTCCCTCTCTCCGCCCCTTCCCAGCTTGTGCTCTGTCTCTCAAAAATAAATAAACATTAAAAAAAAGGTTTTTTAAAGAACTCAGCCACTTATTACCTATGTGACCTGACTGAGGTATTTTACTTCTCTGTGCTTCAAATTTTCCCATAAAAATGAGGTTCTTAATAGTTCCTTTCTAATAAGGTTGTTCTACGAATTAAGTACCTTTCAAGAGCCTAGAAGAATCATTGGCATATAGGAAGCCTATCTATTTGTTAAATAAGTGACATAAATAAAAATGTAATATATATATGCAAATGAATCATCTTTATAATAGCTAGAATCAACTGAGCTAGCTTTACCAGCCAAGCACTGTCATAAGATTTGATGAACTTAAATGCAATAATCTCATTTAACTTCACGACAACTCAGTGAGGTGGATGTAATTTTCACTTCAGTTTACACATGAAGAAACTGAGTCTCCAATGGATGAGATAACTTGCCTGTGGTCACACTGCTAGTGATGATTTGTCAGTGTCCGCAAATAGGCCTCCTAATTATTCCACCTAGTGTGTCCCATAAGTGCAAATAAGTGGTCTAAATTATCTGTAAGAATAACCCAGACCTTGTGTGGAGGTTCCTCAAAAAGTTAAAAATAGAACTACCTTACAACCCAGCAATTGCACTGGTAGGTATTGACCCAAAGGATACAAAAATACAGAATTTGAAGGGGCACATGCACCCCAATGTTTATAGCAACACTATCAACAATAGCCAAACTATGGAAAGAGTCCAAAGGTCCATCAACTGATGAATGGATAAAGAAGATGTGGTATATAGATTTTATACATAATGGAATATTACTCAGACATCAAAAAGAATGAAATTTTGCCATTTGCAACAATGTGGATAGAGCTAGACAGTATTATGCTAAGTGAAATAAGTCAGAGAAAGACAAATACCATGATTTCAGTCATATGTGGAATTTAAGAAACAAAACAGATGAACATAGGGGAAGGGGAAAAAAAAGAGAGAGGGAAACAAATCTTTTTTTAATGCTTATTTTTGAGAGAGAGAGAGAACAAACATGGGAGGGGAAGTGAGAGAAGGGGACAGAGGATCCAAAGTGGGCTCCGTGCTGACAACAGAGAACTCAACACAGGGCTCGGACTCAGGAACTGTGAGATCATGACCTAAGCCTAAACCTAAGTGAGAAGCTCAACCAACTAGGCCACCTAGATGCCCCCTTTAATGACTCTTAACTATAGGGAACAAACTGAAGGTTGTTGGAGGGAGATGGGTGGGGAGATGGGCTAGATGGGCGATGGACATTAAGGAGGGCACTTGTTGCGATGAGCACTGTGTGTCATATGTAAGTGATGAATCGCTGAATTCTACACCTGAAACCAATTTTACCATATATGTTAACCATAACCGTATATGTTAACTAGAATTTAAAATAAAAACTTGAGGGGCACCTGGGGGCTCACTCGGTTGAGCATCCGACTTTGGCTCAGGTCATGATCTCACGGTTCGTGGGTTGGAGCCCTGCGTCTGGCTCTGTGTTGACAGCTCAGAGCCTGGAGCCTGCTTTGGATTCTGTGTTTCCCTCTCTCTCTGCCCCTTCCCTGCTCAAGCCCTGTCTCTCTCTCAAAGATAAAAATACATAAATAAATACATACATACATACATACATACTTGAAAAATAAAGGAATAATCCAGACCTTAAAAGGCACCTAGTGCCACTCCTTTAGTACAGACCACTCAGTTCCTCTGGGAGCCAGAGTCAAGGGTGGGTATCCAGATGGGGTTAAATGCACTGACTCCTGGAGTCGCAGAGCTTCAGCAGGCACCCAGGAAAAATGGACTGTCTTAGGACAGACCTTCTATCTCCAAGGGCAAGATCTGGCTCAGAGCCCTAGATGCATTTCTTACTCCTTCTCAAAACACCTTAGAGATGCTCACTGGCTTCAGGTATAGCTACCACCTCTTTGGGCAAAGCACGTTTGACTTGGGCGTTGTTCTTCTCTGGAAAAGCATGGTGGTGAGGGACTGGAGCGAGGAGGTGGTGAGCAGGAGATGGAAACTATAGTCTGTTCCCCAAGCTATCATAAGAAGAGAAAGTCTTCTGATCTCCAACTGGGCCAATTCCCACGTTCCAACATAGTAGGTGGGGAAGGAACCAGTCAGATGCCAGGCTCCTGAAAACCCACCCCAGGCCCATCCACTGTAGACTCAACAAAGCTGGAGGGGAGCTCCAGGATGAATGGGAGGATGACGGTGACTTCCACAAACAGTGGGTAGAGCTTCCTGTGGTCATGCTACTTGCTTAAAATATTTGCATCTCCCCATCCCAGTATTGTCATCTTTGGCCATAACATGCAGATCAATTTTCTTACAGTGGCACAAAGACTTTATTGGCAGAAAGGCAGGATGGAGAAACTATATTAACTATATTGTGATTAGGGACTTAGAATGTTTAAAGACAGAACGACGTCTACAAATATTTTCTCAAGCAACGTTTATGGAAAAGGGGAGTATGCAAGCCCATTTTACCTTCTAATCTTGTGAGGTCAGCCAGGTCAGCCAGGTCTTAGGAAATGGGATTCAGCACACATTTTGTGAGAAGGAAGAGAAGGCAAGTAATGTTTACCGAGCCCCTATGATGTCCCAGGTATTTACCATGTATCTAATTCAATCCTCATGAATCTCTGAGAGAGTTGCTATTGTTTACATCATATAGGTGAGGAAAATAGGGCACCGCAAAAGCCAGGTGACCTCCGTTTAGTTTTGCAATTTACACATTTAGCACAAAATTAAGTGGTAAGGTGGAGTACTTAGCAGCATGAGATCTAAGGCTCGAAGAGGTTCCGATATTGGTTCCCTTTACAAACTCTGTGACCTTGGAAAATTGCTTAAACTGTATGTGCCTCAGCTTCTTCATCTGTCATGTGGGGAGAATACTAACTCCCACTTCATCAGGTTGCTGCGAGAATGTTTTCTTCTGCCAAATTTCCTCCTCTTACCTGAGTTAGTGCAGGTAAGGGCCTGCCCAGAACTCCCTGGTACATCTTACGCACTCAGTAAAAGTTAGCTTTGGTTATCCCTCTGAGCCAGGCACGGCTCAAGACTGGGACGTGAAATTGGGGCCCCTTCAGGTCCTTTGGCATCCGTTGTTGCTTACGTTACTCCTCTGGAATTGTCTACTGCCCGGGAACTGCGCGAAAGACTTAGATGAATCCCTGTCTTCCAAAAGTTCACAGGCACTACAGAAACACACATATTTAAAACCCCAAATTGGGGCAGGATGCGATCGAAGAAATCATTTTTAAGTCATAAAAATGAAATCTTGGAAAAGGAGAATAGAAGACTGACCTGGTAAGAGAAGTAATGAAGACAAGAAGCTCCAACTGACTGTTCCCAGCTTTGTCCCTGACAGAGCCTGGTACAGCCTCACCCCATTTCCAGGCAAGCAGGGACGTTGCTTAGCAACCCAAACAGGAACAGTGGAGTGAACTCTGGGAACCAGAGCTCCTGAACAGGACCAAACTTTTGCTTTAAACCCCACCTACAGCACAAGCGACACCTGCAAATTGAAAGCACTTGGGAGGAGAGTCTTCTGAGAGGTTAGATTGGGCAGAAGGCAGGCATAGGGGAAAATACTCAGTCTAAATTACTGGGAAAATGTAGAGTGATTTTTTTTCTTTCCTTCAAATGGTGCAGAAATTCGATGTGCTAAGAAAGATTTGCCAAGCCAAGGGCTTGGTGAGTCTGCTTCACTGAATGTTGATGTGGCAATTGAGGCCAGCAGGACATGCCCAGTTTCTAGCTCATGTGGCCACCTCTCCCAACAGCTGCAGCCGCTTGATTGCCATCTACAAATTCAATCTCAAAGTAAGATCCAGAGAAAATACTGTCCTTGCTCAGTAGAGATTGAAGGTGTTAGAGTTCAACTCTATATTCATTCCTTCAACAGATATTTTTTGGAAGCTGGAAGGTTAGAGAGGAAGACAGGCATTAATTTTTAAGTGTGATACATGTTAAGGAGGGAAAGTATAAGATGCTGTGGGAATATACAGCATGGACCCCTAACCTAGAATGGACAGCGAAGGGGGAAGGTCAGGAAAAGCACCAGAAGATGTGATATTTAATAAGAGTCATGAATGATAAGTCAGAGTTGCATAAAAAGAGGAAGGGAAATTTGTTCCACATGAAGTAACAGTCTATGCAATGGTCCAGTTCAGTGACAGAGAGGAAAGGGGAGAGAGAGAGAGACAGAGAGGAAAAGATAGGGAGGAGGGGAGAAGATGGGAGGGGGAGGAGAGAATGAATTGGGGGTGAGGGTGAGGAGGAGTAGGAGCAGAATATATGAGTATTATGTAGTTATGCAATGAAGAGTCTTTCGATTCATGACATTTCTGGAATTTATCCTAAGAGCAACTGGCAGCCATTGCAGAATTTCAAGCATGTGATCACATTCTCTAGCATACAGTCAGCCCTTCTGTAGTCCACTCCATGCTTGGATCCCAGTGCTTGGGTCCCTGGTCTAGTGTCTTGAGCTCCTGGTGTGGTTTCCTGCCTAATTTTCTGAAGTGAAGAGATCCTCCATATTGTCACCCTTACCCTAATGTACGGAGTCTTATTCTTAAGCCTGAGCTCATTCGCCTCCTCTCCTTCTGATTTTGCCTATTTTAGGACTCTCAGTCACAGGGTTTGCCCCTCCTGCCCCTCCCCATATACCATTGTGATTGCCCAGTGGCTGGTTGATTGGACTATCTATCACCGACTATCGTTTTCTTCATCCTTCCAACACAAGGTAAAATCCACTGAGTGGTCATCTTCCTCTTCACCTGCAGCAACTGTGTCTGAACCAACCAACTACTCGCCCAGGAACTGATCCACTCCATAGAGTAGTGTCTCATATCAAGTTCTGGTCATCCTAGGGATGACGCAAGAAATCC